TATGAGGATAAATGGTACATAAATGTGTTTGCTGCCTGAGTAAGGCAAACAAGTTACAGTGATTGGTCCACTTACAGAGATTGAAGGAGATCTCAGAGAGGACCTGGTCCAACCCTTCCATTTGACAGAGGGGGAAACTAAGGCCCAGAATGATGAACGACTTAGGTAAGGTCTTAGACCCACTGTAGGAGCAGTTACTGAACACATATTATTAAATGCTTGCTATATATCAAGGGCTCTAAGGCACTAGAAGTATGGAGGTACATAATATAATCCCTGCTCTCCAGGAATTGACAATCTAATAGGGAATCAGACCCATACCTCCTGCAGATAGTGAGTTCTAGATGTGAGGCATGCTGAAATAGAGATATCTACCCAGAGCTAAGGGACGATATGGGAGACTAATTAAACTAGAAGAGAAAAAAAGGCTACATAGAAATAATGTCAAAATGAGAAAGGAGGGATGTGAGAATAGGTTATTTCAGGCAGATGGGAGGGCACAGCTCTCATAGAATCTTTGACTCTGAAGAGATCTGAGAGACCAGCTCTTCATATACTTTTTAAAATTCCCTATATATTATCCTAGAGAGATGACAATTCAGTTTCTGCTGGAACATTTCCAGTGAGAGAAAACTGATTACCTCACCAGGCAGAAAAGGTTTAGCTCTAACCTTTTCAGGTGGTATTGCATTGTATGTGGGGGTCTGTCAGATTCTATCTCTTCATTGTCGCTGAATAACAGGCTTAGTAATACTTGGTCTTTGACTTCCTCTCGAGGGAATGAGAAAATGTCACGCATTTTAGGACCTTTGACTTACAGAATGTTAGAGCTGGCAGGAACCTCAGATATCATTTAGTGCGATTTAAAAAAAAATTCTTTCTATGATTCACGAACCCTCTTAGAGAACGTAATAAAAATCCAAAGATCCGCCCCCCCCCACCAAATGCACATATGCTTATGACACACAAAATACTGCCTACAGTTTCAGGGCACTCATGGAGCCCCAAAGCTTGTCCTGGACTAAGAAATCTTTTCATTTTACTGATGAGAAACTGAGGCTCAGAGAAGTGGAATGGTATGGAGTAGAATCATGGAAGTGATTCCCCATGGATCAGACCACTGGATGAGCAGAAGATTCAGACCTATGGGTCAACCCTGAAGAAAGTCATTGACAAACTGAACATGTCTGGGGAGCTGGCTGCAAGGGGATCTATTACAAAGTGAGAAGGAGAGCTGGGGTACGAGTGTGAGTATCATGAGCACCTTCTTTAATTATCTGGAAGTTGGTTTATAGAAAAGGATTTAGACCTTTCTCTTTTGCTTCAAAGGGTAGCTCAGGATCAAAAGGTAGAAAAGAACTTCTGCCAGACAGAACTGCCCACTAATGAAATGTGCTGCCTGAGGGGCACAGAACTTGTCACTTGACTTTCTGAGGACACAGCGCAACTTCCCATGCAAGGGACTTTGGCATTACAAGAGTTTGAAGTGGGTGACCCAAACTGGACTTGATTCTGTAACTAACTCTAAGGGTCATACTCAGTCTCATGCACTAGTCAGAAGGAAGCTCAGGTCTCCCGAGAGCGTGGTGGTAAGTCAGGAAGTGGTGGAAGTTCAGGATGGCTGAGGCCTCGAGTGTGAGGGGTGGGAGGGTGGAACTAATGGAGAGAAATGAGACTCGGAGATATAAGCGGAAGTCAAATGTTGAAGGGTCTGATGTAGTATCACGGATGGTATTCAAGAATGACGGCCTCTATAGAGCAGTGGGACAGAAGAACTGAAGCAAAGGACATTTCAGAAAGAGGAATTAGCAGAATCAGTGGCAGCAGCACTGGTAGGGAAATCAGGAGGCCAGGGGAGACAGGTTGTGATGAGTTGTAGGTTTCACACAGTGAGCCTGAAGTGACAGTGACAACAGGACATGCAAATGGAAATGTCCAATGATCTGACATACTGGCAAGTAACAAGTGGAAATGCCTGGTAGGCAACGGATGATTTGGGATTAGAGTTCCAGGAGCTCAAGATGTGAGAGAGATGAAGGGGTTATCTACAGAGATGAAGTAATTTAAGTTTTCAGAGTAGATATATTTTCAATGAAAAAAGTACAGCATGAATAGAAGTCTGAGGAGTTAGCCTGCAGTGCTGACCTCAGTGTGGAAATGGTAATGATTAAGAAGATGTGAGAAGGGAGAGTTCAGGGACTTAGAGGAGATCTGAGACTAGACAGTGAAATAAAAACCTGGGAAAAAGGAAGCTTCAAGGAATAAGAGTGATCAACATAAACACAGTCTTATTTTCATGTGCATTCAACTCTGTGCTTTGGCAGGGAAACTACAGTAATGTGCATTTTGGCAACCTCATAGGAGGTGCAGTATGAGTTGTAAAGTGCTTTTAAATGGATTATAGGTATTTCCTAAATAGTACTTTCTAAAAAAAAATGACTTAGAAAATATGACTAAAACTTCTCTCTCTCCCAATTTCTCTACCAGTAAAATAGTAATCCCTTTAAGTTTAATCAGTTTCTTGACATCCTTACTTTAAGGAAGGTGATTTCTGCCATCGTAACGTGAGAAATAGGGAAAGGTACGTTGAGGCAACATGATGTGCCTGGGCCAATGAGGCAGCAGCAGCAAAGACTGAATTGAACATTCTGATTTCTGTTTCTTAAAACCAAATCTAAAACCAAAATTAAACACCGACTCAGATTTTCATAAATAACTTCTGAGAAATAAAATTAATACAACTTAAATCAGTTACTTCTCCATTTAAATATTTCTCTTGGAGATCTATGCTACAATGTCTGTAGGAGGTGATGGTTAGGAAGTGTAAGAAACTTGTTCACTCCCAATAATGAGGACCAATAAAGGAAAGACTGTGACTGAGAAAAAGTACAGGAGGTTTTGAGTTTCGGTAATTTCAATGATTATCACAGTAAGCACAGCTACCATTTAAAAGTGTTTTTAAAAATCAATTTCAGAAACTAAGAATTAAGAACGAAGAGGGCCTATCTTTCACAACACTGAAACGAATCAGGATAACAACTAAAAGGGTAGAAGGTGGGGGTTAGACTACAAAGATGTCTCCTAAATCTCCTTGTCGGTTCAAACCCTCTGGGCTTGGAGTTACAAAAGGCCATGTTAGGGAAAAAATACTGCAAGCCAATACTCTTTTTAAGCATGGCATTTATTTGAAACCCCTTCCTCCATACAGCTCTCCTGATAAATGTATTTTCAGTTCCCAGCGTACACTGACTTGGAACTCTTGGCCCCAGGCATACAGCCTCTGGGCAGCATCACTGGAAAAGGAGAGGAAGAGGAGGCTTAGGTCACTAACAACGAAGACAGGGGTTTCCACTGAGCTGGAGGGTGCCTAAAATCAGCTAGTCTAATTTGTCATGTTTTACAGATAGAGAAACTGAGGACCAGAGAGAGAAATGCTGTGTTCAGTTCATCTTAAGTAAATATCAGATGCTGGATTTGAACGCAGGTCTCCTTTTCACTCAACCACAATCCTTCTATTCCACTGGAAAGGGAGTTTGGGGTGGGGGAGAACTCTGGGGCCCCTCTCTCCAGTAACAAAGTGGAATGTGTCTGGATCAATACACTCCTTTTTGGGAACATAGAAAGTCAGCTATGGTGGCTTTGTAGAGCCCCACCTCATATTCAGGTAGATATGACTTCAAATTCGGAAAGTGGATCCTCACACATTAAACTTGAGATTATAGACACATCGGTAGTCGGAAATACAATATTCCTTCCCTTGCAGAGAATGTCTACTTGCAACTCAGGATAATCTGTCACATGCATTACCCACTTACAGTTGTCACTCACATGCAGAGAACTTTTATGAGAAGGCTGCAAAAGAGGCAGGTAGAGGCTTTAGGTTAATGCTGGATTCTTTGGTAAAAGTGAAAAGAGCCTTGTTATGAGAAGAGTGCAAAATAATACTTCCCAAGATATCAACTATTTCAGAGTCGCAGAAAATGATGTGTTCCTGTCAATCTTGTCTTGAAGATTGACAAGATGGTTAGCATTCCAGCTCATAGTGGTATTCAACTTCTTACTAACATAGTTTATCTTGCCTTTTATTATTATTTTTAACTGTTATTTATTACACTTATGCTTCCTCCTTGTGGGCAAGATATGGCAGGATTCAAGAATTGGAAGGACTTAAGATTTGGAAACATTCAAGATACAGCCAGGAAGTTATCCCTCAAGAATCTGCCTGTCATCCGTATCTTTCTCATCAGAGGTTTCGGTATTACACCTGCTAACGCAATGCTCTCTTGCTATTTAAAATACCCAAAACAAGTATCAAAGAAAAGGCAAACCAAGGCATAATCTAGAATCAATTACTTATGGCAAAATAATCACAATGTATAATAGGCAAAGATGACTATTTTGCATATTATATATCATTATCCAAAAAAGTGTGAGGTCCTCGAAGCAAGTACTATTTTCTCCTTAGGCTCAAGCCAAGAGTTTTGTATGTGTAGTAAGAATTCAATCAATATTTCTTGAATAAATTACATTACCTAGTACAGATTTGTTAAGGAATAGGTGGGGGAAAGCAAGTTATTTATGCAAGTTGGTTGCTTCAATCAAATCAAAACTAGACTTAGTCTAGCAAAAGTAGGCTAGATATTGGCATAAGTTTCTTGTGGAAAGGTAGGAAAGGTGAGAGGACAGTTATCCCTTCGTAGCTTACTGCAGGTAGCACCCCCATCCCCCAACTCCTTGCCATGGGTGGGTGATTTGTTCCGGAGTTAGAAGGTCAAGGACTAACCTAGAGGAACAGCCACCAAGTAGAGATTAGGCCGTTATCCTTCCTGTTAGCCTCCTCTGAAGGGCTGGTGAGCAGAAGTGGGAAGGTGACATGGGCACAAGGATCACAGTGATCTCAGATTCCCTCCTGATTCTCTCTCCTGGCCACTCCCACCACAGTGCCCCATTCCATGTTGACTCTGAGTTGTGAGAACACAGTCTCTAGATCTCATACTTACTTGGCAGCAGCATCTTTTCTCAACTGTTCATGCTTCATGAGGAGATTTTTCCGGTCTCGGAAAGCTTTTCTGACCTTGTACCCTTTGTAGACAGCCTGGATTTTGAAGGCAGCGATGTCCTGTATGGCTGCGATGGACAGGGCGCCGTGCTCCAACATGAACTGGATCACTTCATGGCGCTCACCAAGCAAAGCGTAATCGAGGGGAGTGTACCTGAAGCAGGGAGATTTTTTTTTAAGTGTCAGAATGTAGTTCAGGGCACAGTTAAACTGGCAACATTACGCAGCAGAAGGAAAACTCATTCTAAGATGTGGAAAAGTTCCTCAGGCAAAGCTATCTTCTGTAGTCCAGGACTGTTCCTTTCTTCTCTGATGCACACAAAACAAGGGTGAAGCTGGGGTCACTTTAATCTAATGATCAGCTTAGCAAAGATCAGAAAGTTTAATAACACACTCTGCTGGCGAGGGTGGAGGGAGACAGGCTTTCCGTATGCTACCTTAATCTTTGGGGAGACACTCTGGCATGATATACAGGAATTATATGGTGCTGCTGACCATGTCTATTCCTCAGTTTTGCTAACTTGCTCACAAATCAGAACACATGATCACTTTTCTTCTTCCCCATGTTCCAAGTAATTCCTTGCTCCTATCTGAAGAAAGCACTGCAAATAATATTCTGTGAGATTCATAAGTTTGAGCCCATGATCACTGATAGTTAATGCTTATGAAATGAAAACTATACCTCCAAATGGAGAGATTTAGTCTATGATAAAGATGGCCCTTTAAATCACCACAGTAAGGATGGGTTATTAAATAGAGTCAGGACAACTGGGCAAGCATCTGGAAAAAAAAAGATTCTTACATCACATTTCACTCCAAAATGGATGAAGCAGAGACTTAAATATTAAAAAAAAAAAAGAAACCATGAAAGTACTAGAAGAAATCATGGAAGATTTTTAAAAATATTGGAGTGAAAAGTTTTTTCCAAAAAAAGATACAAAAATTCAGAAACCTTAAGATTGATAAATCCAACTACATAAAAATAACAAATATTTATAAGGCAAAAATACCAAACAAAGATAAAAGTTCTTCAAACAGGAGATACTAGTGGCTCCTAACATATAAAAATATATTCAACCTCACTCATTTAAGAGAAATACAAATTAAGACCAACATGAGTGAGCACTTTAATCTAATGATCAGCTTAGCAAAGATCAGAAAGTTTAATAACACACTCTGCTGGCGAGGGTGGAGGGAGACAGGCTTTCCGTATGCTACCTTAATCTTTGGGGAGACACTTTGGCACGATATACAGGAATTATTCATGATCTGCCCTTGACGTAGCCATTTCACTGACATGCATTCATCCTATAGATATGCTCTCCTGTGTGGAACGCTGTATGTATGAGGATATTCATAGAAGCACAGAAACAACCTCAATTCCATCAACAGAGGACTGGTTAAATAAAGTACAGGCCATCCATGTAATAAAGTCATCTGCATAACGCGGCCACTATTGTGGTATATGCATATATAAGGAACAATTTCCAGGATGACTTGTTCAAGGAAGGAAAAGAGAAAAAAGTAAGAGACAGAGCAGTATTATGGTGTGCTCCACTGATATAAAAAGAACACATCCCTGTGTGCTCATCTATGTAAAATATATCTCTAGAAGTTTCCCAAGAAACTGGTGACAGTGATGCCTCTGGGAAGGAAGCTAGTTGCCTCAGAGATAGGGGTAAGTGGGACACTTAGTTTTACTAAATGCCCTTAAATTTTGTACAATGTGCATACCTTTTTGATAAATATATTATTTAGAAAAGATGGGTATTAGTGTCATATAGTTATGTATTTGAATCTCAACTGACTACTTTCTAGATGTGTGATTTTAGGAAGATTCCTTTAAAAAATATATCTTCTCTTGGGACTTCTCTGGTGGTGCAGTGGTTAAGAATCTGTCTGTCAACGCAGGGGACACGGATTCGAGCCCTGGTCTGGGAAGGCCCCACATGCTGCGGAGCAACTAAGCCCATGCGCCACAACTACTGAGCCCGCGCTCTAGAGCCCACGAGCCACAACTACTGAGCCCGCGTGCCACAACTACTGAAGCCCGTGCACCTAGAGCCCATGCTTCGCAACAAGAGAAGCCACTGCAATGAGAAGCCCGCTTACTGCAACAGAGAGTAGCCCCTGATCACTGCAACTAGAGAAAGCCCACGTGCAGCAATGAAGACCAAATGCAGCAAAAAAAGAAAAAAAAAATCTTCTCTACTTTTGGAAATATAAACCAAATTGGATAAATACACAGAAGAAAATAAGTCATCTATACTCCCACACTCAGAATTAGCCACTGTTAATATCTTTGCAAGTATGCTTTCCCTTTTTAAATAAAAATGATTACTTTGTAAAAATGACACATAGTTTAAGAATTCAAACAATGCAGAAAGTACAAAAATTTGAAGTAAACACCCCAAATTCTACCATCCAACAATGGTAATGATGGTTGTCACTTCCTAGCCAACTTACTTGGTGCTTCTAAGCCCCGCTTTTCCTAATCACAGACTTGGCATGAAGAGAGAATGAAATAATCAATGTGAGGAAGATAGCAGTGCGCCTGGCAAGAAGGAAGCAGTTCATAAAAGTCAGCTGTGATTGTTGATATTACAGGACATACACTGCAGCACAGTTGGTGATAGCACAGTCACTTATCACGAATATTATTTGCATAGGACTGAAACCAGAACTTATGACTACTGAAAAACCACCTGATCGGATCCCTCTGTGGGACTGTTGCTGAGTTAGTGGGTCAGAGGTGTTGGGAGGAAATAATCAGTTGATTGATGAGATGGAAAAATGATGATTATATGGATGCATGATTAGACACAGAAAATCATCCAATGATTACAGAAAAGAAACTTGCTCTTCAAAACTCACCTAACAGTCACAGGAAGATATAAAAGGGAGAGGTTTTCAGTAAAAGCAAAGGGTGATTTGATCACTTTAGTAAGGAAAATATAAGATCAGAAGGAAGTCCTAAATGCTAAAATTAAGGAACCCCCATTTTAGGACAGCTTGATCTGCCACTACTGTTCAGAAACCAGAAGGCCATAAAGTAGAGGTGCCTATATAAACTTTAAAACATTATTTATACGTAAGTAGCATTTTGTAAATTCAGAAAAACTTTCACAAATTTCACTATATATTCTATTAATAAAATGCCTTTCAGGGGCTTCCCTGGTGGCGGCGGTGGATAAGAATCTGCCTGCCGATGCAGGGGACACAGGTACGATCCCTGGTCTGGGAAGTTCCCACATGCCGCGGAGCAACTAAGCCTGTGTGCCACAACTAGTGAGCCTGTGCGCCACAACTACTGAAGCCCGCGTGCCTACAGCCCATGCTCCGCAACAAGAGAAGACACTGCAGTGAGAAGCCCACTCACCGTAATGAGGAGTAGCCCCCGCTCGCTGCAACTAGAGAAAGCCGGTGGGCGGCAACAAAGACCCCACACAGCCAAAAAAAAATGCCTTTCATGACTGTACTTTCCCCAACAGAAAAAATCATCAGAGTCATAGTACCACACAAGAGTAGAGCTGAACTGAATTTTAGAGGTTTAGTTTAACACCTTCATTTCATAAATGAATAAACAGACTCAGAAAGATTAAGCAACTTACTGAAGGTCAAGTTACTAGTTACCTGCAAAATCTAGATGAGGACTAAAATCATATGACTCCCTGTTCAGTAATCCTTCCATAATTCATCTATCAATTATTGAAAATATATGTCTCCTATAGAATGAAACTGCTTCTAAATCAACATGCAAATAACATATGTATTTTTAGTAAGCTTGATCATTTTTTCTATAATTACTAATATATAGTATCTTTCACATAGTATACAAATAGTATTATCAAAATATGGCTTATGAAAATGAGGCCCAAATTATGCATTTACTTACAAATAAGACAAAAAGAAATGACATGGGCATAATATACCCTAAAGAATGCTGAACTGGAAGTCAGCAGACCCCTGGGCATTCTCTTCACTTCTCTTCACTTCTATTTCCTCATCTGTAAAAGGTGAAATGAAGGGGAGAAGAAGAACTAGATCTCTCAGGCTGCTTGTGGATAGAAAGTTGCATTTCAAATATGTTAAATATTTTTATTACAAAAAAATTATATTTTTATTATGAGAAAATTCAAGCATAAACAAAAGAGAATAGCATAATAATGCCTTATATTCTCATTACCCAAATTTAATAATTAGCAAAACTTTTGCCGTATTTGCTTCATCTATTCCCTTCCTTTTTATTTTTGCTCAAGTATTTTAAAGCAAATTCCAGGGGAATTCCCTGGCGGACATGGCGGTTTCACTGCCAGATCCTGCAAGCCGAGCAGCGGCACGGCAAATAAATAAATAAACAAACAAATAAAGCAAATCCCAGAGCTCCTATCATTTAATCTCTCTGCATTTTAGATTCATCTATAAATAATGTGAACATAACCACAATGTCCTTGTATTAACAAAATTAACAGGAATTCCTTAGTAAGATCTAATGCCCACTCTAAATACATGTTCTCCTGATTTTCTCAAAAATGTCTTTTTGTTTTTTAACAATTGGTTTATTCAAATTACAATTCTCAGTCAATTTTTGATTCAGGGAGACACAATCCAAATATCTAGCAAGGTTTAAGATTGACACCTGTACCTAGTGTTTAAGCAACTGACCATATTGTGATTATTACTATTGAATTTTTCTTCATCCCAAACTCAATTTAGAAACATTCTAGTGTTGTGAATACTCCCATCTATGTCAGAGTATGGCTGTCAGATAGTTATTGACTGAAAATCAGCAGTGATTGGCAAAAATTATATCTATACAGTGCACATCAAGTGGTTTGTGTCAATGCACGTGAAGTAAAAATTAGCACTACATTGATGGTAACCAGTCAAGAAACAATGTAGATAAAGACAAGCGACAAGATTCAACTGGACTTGCCATGTGGGAATGGTCTGATGGAATAAGTAGAATGCCTACACTGGAATGTCAATAAATATAAAAGGCAGTGCCAAGTGCCGACATGTGTACATCAAGGTGCGTGGCTGATGAAACATTAAAGGAGATAGGGATATTGCCACTGTCTCTTTTTACCTGTAGACTGGCAAGTACACTTAGGAGACTCTTTCTTTTGGTCTTTTGGTCTGTAATTAAACGTATGTTTACTCCAGCAGGCAGTAAGCACCTTAATTCACATGCTTACTTAGGTCTGAAATTTAAGGGTTAGCATATAAATGGAAATTGAATTACAAAATATTACTTTTTTTATTGTTTCCTAAAAAAATAGCAGTCAGGCAGTAAACACTGTTATAGAATACATCCTTATCTTTCCCTTTTGTTTTTTCAGGGTTTCAAAGGGAGAAACCTTCAGCACCTTCACATATCTGTTTTTGTTTTTGTTTTTTTTAGTTTTTAAAGGAATCTCCATACAGTTCTCCACAGTGGCTGCACCAATTTACATTCCCACCAACAGTGAAGGAGGGTTCCCTTTTCTCCACACCCTCTCCAGCACTTAATAACTTTTTAAGGATGGCCATTCTGACCAGTGTGAGGTTATACCTCATTGTAGTATTTTTTTTTCCCCCCCGGTATGCGCGCCTCTCACTGTTGTGGCCTCTCCCGTTGAGGAGCACAGGCTCCGGACACGCAGGCTCAGCGGCCATGGCTCACGGGCCCAGCCGCTCCGCGGCATGTGGGATCTTCCCGGACCGGGCACGAACACGTGTCCCCTGCATCGTCAGGCGGACTCTCAACCACTGCGCCACCAGGGAAGCCCCACATATCTGTTTTAATGTCAAAACCTCAGCCTTGAGGACTTCACTTGGCTTTCCAGTTTCCTTAAGTGTTCAAATACCTAAATCTTCAAGTCTTTTTTTGTTTTGCAATTGTCAGTTGACTATAATAGAGACAGTGAGTTCTTTATATAATCGTTACCAAGTCCAAGCTTGCTCTGCTCACCGCACGACAGGCCAGTGAATCGGAGACGAGGTGTTGAGGCAAGGAATACTTTATTTGGAAAGCCGGCAGACCAAGATGGCAGACTAGTGTCTCTGAAAAACCATCTTATCTGGGTCTGGATGCCAGTTTCTTTTACAGAATCAGAGAGGAAGAGGCAGTGAGGAAGTAAAATAAAAGGGCAACCAGTCTTGCAAAACATCTGGAATGGCCAGCCTCAGTGAGGGGATGTGTTGGTTTCCTTTTTCTTGCAGCCATTCACAGGTGGGCAGCGTTCCCTGAGGCAGGCCATTATGTATGATTATAGTAACAAAAGGAACGAAAAGCTAAGGTTAAAGTCAAAGACACTGATCCAATGTGGAGTCCGATTTAGCTCTTCCCTGTTACTTATCACTCCCAAAGGAAGGCACACTAATCTGCTTTATCTAAGTCTGCACATGGTCTAAGAATTCCGCATAAGTTTCTAAGGCTGGTATGAAGCAGGGTGATGCTCCTAGGAGCCTGAAAACACTGATTTGACAACTGAACAGTTATTTACTGAGCATCTACTTCATGAAAGGCACTGTGAGCAATACAGAGATGACCACGATCTTCAGGAGCTCTCCATTAATAGGGAAGACAGATTACATACAATCATAACATAATGTGAAATGTGCCAAATGCTGTAAAGGTTCACAGTGTAGGGAGAACAGAGTTTGGGACACATGACTGTGGGGCAGAACAATCTTAGACGAGACTGTATTTGAACAGGGGAATGACATGATTAACAATTATATTAGCGATATGATTTAGAAAGGCTACTTTGGAAGGTGACGAATTGAAGGAGGGAAAGATCAAAGGAAGGAAAACAAGTAAGGCATTGCGATAATCCCAGAAAGAGTCAAAGAGGGCAAGATCTAGACAATGGTGCTGGTAATGAAGTGGAGATGACAGTGTGAACCAAGGAGGGGCGCTGAGTCTGAAATAGAGATTGAGAACTTACCAGCACCCAAGTGAGTGCGGAAGCCTCGGTGGTTGGTCAGGTCCCCAAAGGAGATAGGCTGAGAGAAGAGATACAGTCCTTGAAGACTGTTTATATTTAAAAAATAAAAAATGGAACAGAAGCCAAAGAAATGGAGAAGGCGCATGATTAGAAGAGAACTGGGGGACTTCCCTGGTCGTGCAGTGGTTAAGAATCCACCTGCCAATGCAGGGGACACAGGTTCAAGCCCTGGTCCGGGAAGATTCCACATGCTGTGGAGCAACCAAGCCCATGCGCCACAACTACTGAGCCTGCGCTCTAGAGCCTGAGATCCACAACTACTGAGCCCCGTGTGCCACAACTACTGAAGCCCCTGTGCTCTGGGGCCCACGTGCTGCAACTACTGAAGCCCACGCACCTAGAGCCCATGCTCTGCAACAAGAGAAGCCACCGCAATGAGAAGCCCGCGCACCACAACGAAGAGTAGCCCCCATTCGCCACAACTAGAGAAAAGCCCACGCACAGCAACGAAGACCCAAAGCAGCCAAAAATAAATAAATAAATAAATAAATAAATAATAATAAAAGAAGAGAACTGGGGACATTCCCGGGCGTTCCAGTGATTAGGACTCTGTGCTTCTACTGCAGGGTTTGATCCCTGGTTGGGGATCCCGCAAACTGTGAGGCACGGCCAAAATAAAAAAATAAAAAAATAAAATAGAAGAAAATATACTGTCACAGAAGCTTAGAGAAGATATAGGCTCAATAAGGTAAAGAAGAGGAGGCAATAGAAAGGAGATAAAGAAAGGCCAATGAGGGTGGGCAGAGAAGACATCATGAAGACATCATGTGATTTATCAACTAGCAATTTGTCAGTGACCACTCAGACACAGATTTCAGTCTAAATGTGATGATAAAGAAATGCAGGCAGGGAAGACAGTGTGAGAGAAGGCAAAGAAGACAAACTTCAGAAGAAAGAGAACTGGAGAATAACAGATGGAGGTATAACTAATGGGGAAAGGTTCTGAAAGAAGTGGGAAAGATGAAGGCCCCATGTTTCCTCCAAGACAGCAGGCCTAGAGAAACCCTCTTTCCTACAGAGTCTCCCATCTCCTGACAGAAAGAGCTGGTGGTGACCAAGAGTGTGGGGATGGTGTCACTGCAGGGCCATTTTAGTGACAGCATCCATGAACAATGAAAACTAAAGCACAGACCTGGGCTGGGGGGACTCAGGTATGGAAATCTGATTACCATCTTATTCGTTACCTACAAGTTACTAGAATCTTCCTAGATCCAAGACCATCAAGAATATCTCTTGCTTAGACTTCACACTATGTCTAGTCCTTTTTATTGGGCCTGGGTTCTTGGACAACAACTCCAGCCTAAATCTGTGGATCTCATATTATTCAAGAAATCTGTATTTAAATTAAAATCCCAAACTTTCATCTTAGTTTTTCCTTATTTTTTCATGCTGCATGGTGGCACCTCTGTCCATTAACTGATAATATACTCTTCATCAACAGAAACTTCTTGAATATGTAACACATTCCACTGGCCTAACCGAATTCGTAGTCCTGGTGAGTCAGGACTCCCCTGACTTGATGCTACCAGCCGAAAGCCAGAAGCCCTAATTTCTTCATCTGGAAAATGTGAGCTTGCCCTAGGCAATATCTAAAGTTCTGAGTAGCTTGAAAATCCCATGATTCTAGAACATATGTATATGTATAACTGATTTACTTTGTTATAAAGCAGAAACTAACACACCATTGTAAAGCAATTATACTCCAATAAAGATGTAAAAAAAAAAAATCCCATGATTCTAAATCAACACTGCATAGAACTTTTGTTCTTTTCTTCTGGTTCAGGATTTCTTAGTGTAGTGTTTCCTTATGAATATACTTATTTCTGAACCAATATCTAAACTTGAGATTTTTAAAATATGGCAGAAAGGATGTGAGATGAACAACAATATATTCCTTTTATCAATGGCTTACCTCTCTTCATTGTTTTCCATCTGATTAGGGAAAGCAGCAAAGTCTAGCAGTAATTTAATGGCATCAAGGTATCCATTGTTACAGGACCAGTGCAAAGCTGTCCTTCCCTACAAACATAAAGAAAAATCAAGTACATCTGGTGTCAGTATTTTTGGACACATAGTTATTTATGATGACTCAAACATATAAACACTTCTCTCAAACTGCTTAATTACAAAAAGAGAAAATATTAAGTATACAGTGGAAAAAATGGACTGTATCTTAACCAAATGATCAAAATTAATACTATGTTAAGAGGCATCAAATGTCTCCAGAAGTGATACCCTGAGAATTCAATATCACTGATGTAATATTCCAACCCAAAATGTAAAACTTGAATCTAATTATGATGAATCATTAGGCAAACTCAAATTGAGTGAAATTCTATAAAATAAATGGCCTGTATTCTTAAAACATTTCAATGTCATGAAAGATAAAAAAGGCTTGAAGCATTGCTAGAGATAAAAAGGAATACTTCATAGAGTTAAAGGTGTCAAAGAGGAAGATATCACAATCCTAAATCTGTATGCACATAATAGCACAGCTTCTAAATATACAGGATTAAAATTGACAAAATTGAAAGGGGAGATAGTCATATCCATAATCACAGTGGGAGATTTTTAACCCATCTTTACAATAGTTGATAGAACAAATAGATAAAAAAGCAGTAAAGATACAGAAGGCATGAACAATACAATGTAAAATTTGAACTAAGTGATATGTATATAAAACATTGCATCGAACAATGACAAAATTAGTACCCTTTTCAAGTATACATAGAACATTTACCAAAATCAACCAAGTGTGGGGATATGAAGAAAGCCTCAAAAGCTTTTGAAAGATTAAAATAGTTCAGAGTATGTTATTTAACTACAGTAAAATTTAAGCTACAAATCAGTGCGGTAGGTAGAATAAGGAACTCCCTTGCAAAGATGTCTACATCCTAATCTCTGGAATCTGTAACTATATCATATTAAATGGAAAGGGGGAATTAAGGTTGTAGATGGTATTAAGGTTACTAACCAGCTCACTCTGAGTTGGGGAGATTATCCTGGATTATCCAGGTGGGCCCAATATAACCACAAGTGTCCTTATAAGTAAGTGACAGAGAGAGGCAGAAGGTGAATGCCAGAGTGATGTAGCGTGAGCGAGACTCAGCCAGTCACTGCTAGCTGTGAGGAATGCAGCCACAAGCCACAGAATGTGGGCAGCATCTAGAAGTTGGAAAAGTCAAGGAAGCAGATTCTCTCCTAGAGCCTCCAAAGAGAATGAAGTCCTGCCAACACCTTGGTTTTTAGGACATTTTGGACTCTGACTTCCAGAACAGTAAGATAATAAATTTGTGTTGTTCTAAGACACTAAGTTTCTGGTAATTTTTTATAGCAGCAATAGGAAACCAATATAATCAAAAACAAAAAGATAATGAGAAAATGCCCAACGGCCTGGAAATTAAATAATACACTTCTAAATAATCTATGGGTCAAATAATAAATCAAAATGGAAATCAGACAGTGTTTGAGTTGAATGATAGTGATCGTACAATTTATCCAAATTTGTAAGATGGAGCTAAAGCATGCTTAGAATAAGAAACATGCTTAAATACATATACTGAAAAAAATATTGAAAAAAATCAATGATTTAAACTTTCATCAAAAGAATCTTTTAAAAAATATTAAATCAAATCTGATGGAAGCAGATGGCAGGAAATAATAAAGATAAGAGTAAATGCCAATGAAATAGTGAAAAACTTAAAATATAGAAAATTAAAAAAGACTGGAGTCCTTTGAAGAGATGAATAAGCAAGACTGAAATTTTTTAAAAAAAGGAAAAGAGACAACATGTATTACCAATGTATGGAATGAATAAGAGGAAATCATTACAGGTCTTACAGACATAAAATAGAAAACAGAATGTATGATGAGCTTTATGTGAATACATTTGACATTTTTAATAAAATGGATAAATTTCTCAAAAAAAATGCAACTTACCAAAGCTGAACGGAAAATGATTAGAAAATCTGAATTGTCTTTTTAATTATTAATGAAGCTGAATCAGTTATTAACAACATTTGCGCAAAGAAAACCCCTAGACCAGATGACTTCAGCAGGGAATTCTTCCAAACATTTAAAGAAGAATTTAACACAATCTTACACAAATTCTTTAGGAGAATAAGAAAAGAGGGACTACTCCCTAACTCTTTTTATAAGGTCAATGTAACCTTGCTACCAAAACATGACAATGTAAGAAAGGAAAATTATAGGTCAATCTCTCTCATGAACATAAATGCAAAAATATTAGCAAACAAAAATCCATCAATACATATATTTCAAAAATATATCATAAGTAGGACAATGTAATCAATGTAATTCACCACATTAATAGCAAAGAATAGAAAAAATAACATAATCATGTTGATAGATGCAGACACAGTATCTGATGAAAATTAAACAGCTAATTGTGATTTAGAAGAACTCTTAGCAACCAAAAATATAAGAGAATCTATAGCAAACATCACATTCAATGGTGAAATATTTAAAGCTTCCCCTGAGAAGCCAGAATGACTTAAGGATGTCAGCTATCACCAGTTCTATTGCATTGGCGGTCCTAGCTAGTTCAATAAGGCAAGACAAAGAAATGAAAGTCATAAAAATTGGAAAGAAAGAAATAAAAATGTTATTGTTCACAGACAGCATGATTGTTTATTTGGATAGTCCAAAACAATACACATGAAAACTAACAGAAGTGGGAAGTAGCTTACATAAGTAATATACTACTTATGTATGAACTTGTAAAAAAAAATGTAAAAGGTACAACAAAGTATAAAAGATGCATTTCTAATAACATTGGTATAGGGACCATATTTTACACATTTTTCATTATGTTACTTTCACATATAGTAACAATCTTGATAAATACTTATTCAATGAATTAATAGGGAATATATTTTCTGACTTGGAAAACATAATATGCTAGTATTTTTAAAGAGTTAAAGTAAGTAAACTAGCAAAATATGTCAATATTGGCTAAACTGAGAGAAATCAATACACTGCTACATAGCTGAGGGAAGCATAGATTAACCTGTGTGTTTTAATAATTGGTGTGAAAGTATATATCAGAGCCTAGTCACATTCATATACCATTCATTACTTTGATTCAAAAATCTCACTTACATGAAATTATTCTAAGAGAATAACCCAAAAGGAAAAAGTTAAATGCACAAAGATGATTAATGCAACATGTTCTATAAATAATGAAAAAGTATCCAGCAATAGGAAGTTACTGATTTAATTCTAAAGTCTAGGTTACAGGCATAGCTTGGACCTGATTCCCCCGCAATACTCCCACCACTGTTGTCACCTTAGGGTAATTATTTAAGCTCCATGAGCTTCAATTTCCTCCTCTGTAAAACAGGGATGATAATAGTAACTACTTTATAGACTTGCTGTGAGGAGTGAATGAGTTATTTTACAGAAAGCTCTCAGAACTTTGGAATATTAAGCATCCATGATTATGAAAAAAATTATATACCAATTGAAAAAGTACTGGTGATAATTCTGAGGGAGCAAAACAAAATGTGGTTTGTAAAATCATATGATATATATATTTATATACCTATAATCATATGCCATATATATATTTTATAAAAGTTATCAAACCGTTCCCATTCTATATGATGACTTTGTTAAATTATTTATGCATATATAGGCAAGGACTAGAAGAGAACATGGACAAATACAAATCACTTTTAATTAACAGATTTGTGAGTGATCTCTTCACTTGGTAAATTGTTGTCTTCCTTAATTTTAGTTAACGAAGAGGCAATGCTCCAAACACTTTGGAGCAGACAATATAAAAAAGACGTAGAATTTCTACCTCTTTGTCTTGAATGTTAGGGTCTGCGTTATTTTCCATGAGCACGGCCATGCAGTTGATATATCCCCCATATGCAGCGCACTGCAGTGGGGTTCTTCCTGCATAATCCTGCACATTTGGGTTGATCTTATTTTCTATCAATATCTGGCAGACATCAGCATTTCCTCCCAGCGCTGCCCAGTGTAGAAGAGAATGTCCATCTTGGTCGACTAGATCTACCCTTGCTCCACCTGAAAAAGCAAAAATATAATGAAAATGTCTAATACAGAGAACATTTATCAAAAAGAAGTTTAAAAAATATAACAACAGTCCTTTAAACGCTTTACTCTCAGCAAAAAGCTTTCATGTATATCATCTACTTCAGATTTTTACAATAAGCCTGTGAACTGGTCAGGGTAGGACTCCTTCCCCTTTTACATAAAGTGAAACTGAGGATCAGGCAGGTGCAGTGACTTTTTTGCAAATCAAACAGCTACTAACAGGTGGAGCTAGCAGTGAACCTTGAGTTTCCTGATGCCAGGCTCTTCCCTCCATCCTTCTACCCAGGCAGCTCTCTGCCATGTAAAGCTATATTTCAAAGGCGAATGGAGGGGCTTCCCCGGTGGCACAGTGGTTGAGAATCCGCCTGCCAACATAGGGGACTCAGGTTCGAGCCCTGGTCCGGGAAGATCCCACATGCCATGGAGCAACTAAGCCCGTGAGCCACAACTACTGAAGCCTGCGCGCCTAGAGCCCGTGCTCCGCAACAAGAGAAGCCACCGCAATGAGAAGCCCGCACACCGCAACGAAGAGTAGCCCACTCGCTGCAACTAGAGAAAGCCCACATGCAGCAATGAAGACCCAACGCAGCCAAAAATAAGTAAGTAAGTAAATAAATAAATAAAATAAATCTATTAAAAAATAAGGTGAATGCAAGAAATGCTACCTTTTGAGAGTGACTTGTTAGGAGCACTCTTAATAACTAACCTTTGATGAGTGTCTGAATCACATCTTTGTGTCCCATCTCACAGGCTCGGAAAAGTGGAGTATGTTTCATGACATCAGTAGCATCTACTTGAGCATTATTTTCCAATAATAACTTCACGGTGCTGACATGGCCAGAAAGGGCAGCAGCATGTAAAGCTAAAAAGGGAGCGAAAGAAAGTGAAGAGCTTCCAAATAACAGCTTTACCTTTTTATTATACTATGTGTCTTCTTCACTTTTGATTTTCTCATCATTTTGGCTAAATGCAATTTAATCTTCAGGATTCTCTATTTTTTAACTTTAACAGATTTCTATCTTCCTTTCTATTCATATGTATTACTCACACTTTTCCCCTTTCCTTCTACCTTTCTCATCTCACTGTTTTCTTCCTTTCCATCCTGTTGTTCTGAAATGGTCTCCTCAGTTACTAGTTTATTATCTTTTCCTCTCTCTAAGAGAGTAAGAGAACAAAAAAATGACAAAGAGAAATGATTTAAATGATGCAGGCAATTCTGCCCACAAACCCACTCAATTAGTATATGTCCCTGACGGGTTGTGTGACGGGACCGTCAATCTACTGTTCCTTCAGTTGGTTACCTGTGCTATTCCTGCAGTTGGTCTGTGTACCCACATGGTACTGAGAGTATGTGTATCTTACTGCACTGAGTGCATTTTTCATACAACATGACTCCAAATGCAAGTCAGCTATTTCCTCAGGGCGCAATTTCAAAAACAGCAATTCCTTTCAAGATTGGAGAAAAAAGTGAGATGGAATGTAGTCTCCTCTCTGGTAAGGGGTTTGAAAGAGTAATTTTGACTATGTGTGAGTTTCACATTACGCTGATCCCTGCCTACATTATTCCACTCTAGTGCTTATGTCATCACTCTTTAGATTACTCTTGAAATTCTATTTAATTCATCACTCTAAATTCTGAATTTTTCAGGATAACTGTCTAGAGGCCTGGGTCAATTCTTTCTAAGGGTTATGGCTCTATACTGTCTAGGATAATGTTTCTTTCATCAAGTGTGATCCATGGACCAAACCTGGGATGCCTATGAAATGCAGATTCCTGGGGATTTGTTGAGAAGCTATTGCGGACTGGGTACTAATATAATGCTGGGAATTCAGCAGGGAACAAGATAGCTAAGGTTATATTCTCATAGAGGAAGCAAAACAAAACAAGACAAGAACACCGAAGTAATAACATTTAAGTATTAGATGGTGATGGATGGTATAATTAAAGAAGTAAAAAGTATTTTGATATATAGAGTGACTGGGGGATTACTTTTGATTGGTGGTTAGGGAAAGCCTTGCTAAGGTGCTGACATTTAAGTTGAGAGTAAATCATAAAAAAGAGACAGCAAAGCAGAGATCTCAAGGGAGAGTAGTCTGGGCAAAGAGAACAATGAGTACAGGGGTAGGAATGAATCTATGTGTTTAAGGAAGGCAAAGAAGCTGCAGCACAATGAGTGAGAATGAGGTAAGTCAGAAAGGTAGAAAAGGCCAGACCATAAATGGCCATACAGGTCAGAGTGATGGAAGACACTGAAGGGCTTTACGTAGCTGAGTGATATTCGATTTATGCTTTCAACAGATCACTCTAGCTGTTTTGAGAATGCATTATAGTAAATTAGAGCGTAAGCAGGGAGACGAGTTAACACTAGCGCAGTTGACTGGGTGAAAACAGTGGTGGCTTGAACTAGGGTGACAGGAATGGAGATGGAGAGAAGCAGAAAGATTTAGATTATATTTTGGAGGTGGAGTCAACAGGACTTCTTGACAGGATTTGATGTAGGATCTCTATGTAGTCTGGGAACAGCCCTAGTAATTCTAATGCATACTTGAGTTTGAAAAGCCTGACCTAAATGGCTGAATGTTAGTTTGGCCTAGACAAGATTCAGATGGGTGTGAGAGACTTCAAAAATCTGAAGTGTGTCATATGGAAGACAACGCAGAGTGGAACATTCAGTTTGACAAATTTTGGCTCAGTATAAGGAAGCGCACCCTGATAGAGTGAGATTAAGATGGAAGTAATGGGTTCTCTATATTGGAGCTGTTCAACCAGAGGCTGAAAGACACTGGGGAGATGTCTTTGGTGAAAAACACTGGTGAGAATGTTATAAGGCAAATTAAGGCATGATATATCTGTGAGAGTTCTGTGATTTTCACATTTAAGAGCATAAGAATGCTTTTTTTTTTTCTCCCAGATGAAATTTTATACAACATCCAACATATAAAATAGTTAAGAGTTGAGCGGTTCTGACTAAAGTAGGGGTAGAGGGTTACTCACTTAAGCATTTACCCCTCAGCAACATTTCAGGTACCTCTATAGGAACGTGTTGCTCTGAAGAACATGGTTTGGAAAACCCTGGACTAGATTTAATTTTAAGGTACTTTTTAATTCTGAAATTCTACAATTATGTAGTGTGGCTTCAAGTATGCAACAGATACTCTTCAGACAAATATCAATGTCAAATTTTTAAAAAACAGACCAAATTTCAATTAAGCATAAGACAGAATTAATGATATTAAATGATATTAAATGATATTAATGATATTCTGACTTTTTTCATTTATTTTAAAACAATCTTAGACTACTATTGCTGCTCCCTCTTTGAAAAAGTACCACAAGTTTACCTAGGAGCTTTAAAAATTATTTTCAATAACTTTCTGTTATGGAAAATTTCAAACATATTCAAAAGTAAAGGCAATAATAGTCCAATGAACTCAATATTGTCATCACCCAGATTCAACAATTATGTGTTGGCTAACCTTGTTCCATCTAACTGCTATCCATTCCCCCACTTCTGATTTTTTGAAGAAAATTCTAGAGTCATATGCTTCCGTTTGTGAATATTTTAGTATGTCTGAAAGACAAGGATTCTTTTTTTAAACACAACCACTGTATCAGTCAGAGTATCTCTCATATAACTCTAACAGATAGAATTCAATATGAAGAATTGCTACCTTTGTACTGAAGAACTGAAAAAGCAAAAAGGGAACAGTAAGGTATCACAGAGGCAGTAAATGCAGAAAACGGCGAGCAATTCTAAGACTGAGGAAACAAAAAGAAGAGGATGGAATTATTACAACTTTAAACGCTCAGAAGAGGCACCCGGCAGAGCTGAAGCTCAGACCTCAGAGGAGGGGCTTTGCTTGGCTGTTGCGGGTATCTCTGAGGAGGGTGCTCTTTGGCGGCTACCGTGAGTGCTGGAAAAGCTGCAAAGTGAAATTAACTGTTGCCACTGGAACAAGCTCTCAGTACTCTGTTGTGTGAGACTTACTAGGGTAATGCTGACAGGAACGGGAAACAAAAACAAGAATAGGAAGCAAACAGGAAGATGCACTCCCCTGCTCCTCTTCCAGCTTTCCAGTCTCCCTGTACTGCCCCCTATGGGCTGACTCCCCTGCTGGCAAAGAGGAAATGTGGTTTGCAGAGCCCCAGCCCCAGTCAAGCAAAGAAAAGATAGGCCCATTTTCATACCTAAAAAATATTAACAAAAGTTTTGTAATATCAAATATCCAGATAGTGTTCACATTTTCCTGAGAGCTTTATAATTTTTTTGTAATTTATTTATTTGAATCAAGATCCAAATAATACCCATATATTGCTATTGATAAGAACTCATTTTTAATTAAGGCAAAACAACTCTGTAGAGGGACGATGGAAAGGAACTCACCTGCATAGAACAGAAATGTCAGGAAGGTATCTCTGACATATAATAAAATCTCCTTAGGATAAAGAGCCCAGGGAATGAATGAATTTGAGAGGAATTTATGTCTCAACCCCAACCATGATGCACATTAGAAAGGCAACTTTGGTCGACAGAATGCAAGTATCCTAGCCCATACTTTATTAAAATACATGAAAAGTTAAACAAAGAGTGATGCTAATGATAAAGACTGCATACTAATACAAGTCTGACAAAAAAATTAAATATTCAAATCATTTATAAGCTCAGTGTCCTATGCGTCTGTACAATACTCCTTAAGAAGCTTAAGGTCTACTATGAAGCTTTGGTATAGAAATATTCAATACTTTAAAAAGTTAAAGCCTTTACCAAAATTGATATTACCTAAAAACTCTTTTTAAAAAATTAGAAGGTGAGATGGTCTCGGTATAGGGAGGGAGATACGAGGTGTAGCAACTCCATTCCCCTCTGTCCCCCAAGTGCTACATCAATAGTGTCGGTGGTCAAGAAAGATCTTATCCAGGATAACAGGTAGGTGCAAACAGCTCTAGTATGTTTCTACAAATAAAAAAACATAACATTGAGAAGCTCATAGCTGAGGTTTTGTTCTGTTCAGTGTTATTGTGCTGTTGTGTGATTTTCCTTTCTCTTTCTGACTTGCAATTTGGATATACAGGTGTCCCTCGATATCTGTGGGGGATTGGTTCCAGGAGCCTCTATAGATACCAAAATCTGAAGATGCTCAAGACCTTTATATAAGATGGTATAGTACAGTGAATACAAGTCAGGCTTCCATATCCGCAGATGCAAAACCCTCAGATATGGAGGGCTGACTGCAGTATATAAGGAAGAGACCTCTAAGGTGACAATGAGTGTTAAAAAACTTATACTTCTCTTACTAATCAACACATAGTTAGAGGGCTCTCTTATTAGAAAAAGAGATTAAAGGAAGCACCTAGTAAGAGATTTTGAAGCTTTGAAGCTTCTAGAGCCATGGGAGGTTAACTCTGAAATGGGAGATTCAGGATGCAGCAATGCTGTTCAAAACTGAGAAAAGAGCATATTAAATGAGCCTGGTGAGAACATACTTAGATGTGTGTGTTCTCTAAAATGTAATTCTAAATGGTTGAAAATATAGTTAATAATTGCTAGGTAGGTATAGTTTTAAAATGCAGGTTCATTCTTTTTTACACAAAGATATATGACCAGAAGAGTTCCCGCAATCATGTCTAAGGAGCAACAAGGCTTGTAAATCAAATGCCAAGATTCACTTGGTAGAAACACAGGCTAATTTTAGCCATAATACTCGGAAGAAATAAAGCTGCTGCAGTGATGTCCTGGCAACCTAAACTTAAAAAGTTAAGATGAAAGTCAAACAATATTAGATTAGGAACAATGGTTTCAACTTACTATTTTGCAAAATAGCACCATCTACACCTTGAAGCTTGAATGAAAGCAAACTGAATATGTCTGCCAGTTCTTACCTGTACCTCCATACTTGTCTGCCATGTTAATGTCAATGTCAGATTTTAAACTCAGCATAGTCCTAAGGACGTCATCACTGCCTTTCCCAGCAGCCCACATAAAGGATGTTCTTCCTTCAAGGTCTGAATCATCTTTTACTGAAGGATGTTTTAGAAACACTTTAACTGTTTCCTGTAAGAAAACTTCATTTAAAAATTTGAGACAAGAGAGTAGCATTTTCTTTGGTAAGAAAGCCAGTGTTATATGTGACTTCCACTAAGAAGCAAAGTATTTTTTCCTCTATTTTTTTTTTTTTTGCAGTACACGGGCCTCTCACTGTCGCGGCCTCTCCCGTTGCGGAGCACAGGCTCCGGACGCGCAGGCTCAGCGGCCATGGCCCACGGGCCCAGGCGCTCTGCGGCACGTGGGATCCTCCCGTACCGGGGCACGAACCCATGTCCCCTGCATCAGCAGGCGGACTCTCAACCACTGCGCCACCAGGGAAGCCCCTTCCTCTACTTTTGAATCAAATGAAATTATCTTTTTATGAATAACGAAATTACAATTTCCATTGAAAGTAACAATCTTCTGTCCTTATACATTGGTTTTAGTTTTCATAGCACTTCAAAAATATAACCTAACTCCCTCATTCAACATTCTAATAATTGAGAATGATCATCCTCAATTAAGTTTAAAAACTCAACTGCAGAGAAGCCTAATACATTCTCTCACTGTATGTTTTGTTGTTATTTTTAAAAATAGTGCATTTATCAAATAATTATGGGTGGTTACTGAGAAATGCAGTGTTCAATTCATCTAAACAAATATTTATTCAGCATTTCCTACATTCAAGGTCCTTCCTCTATAGAATCATACAAAAATTAGGACCCTTAGTAATTCTAATAGTGTTTAACAATTTTAACGGGGGTTAATATTCATAGCATTTAAAATTGCATCTTTCCTCAAAACTCAGATGCTTACAAGCTTTTAGTAAGATCATAGAAACTTTTGCTTGAATGGAAATAAAATAGTTTCAGAAGAGAACAATTTCTGGAGGCGGTGAGTTGGTCAAAAATGTACAAAATGTTGATGATCAATATTTCAGAGCAAGAAAAAATTTAAGGGCTCATCTCGTCCAGCTCCTCATTTTACAGATGACATTTAGACTCAAGGTCATATAAGCATTGGTAGCAGTTAACAGGAGTAGAATGCAGGGTTAAATCACTTCACTCTTTCCACTGTAACACACACTGCTTCCTCGTCTTAAAACTAGATATTGAGCTACTGAGGTATTACAGCTTAGTGCTCCTTAGGATCTAGTGTATGTCCTTATTAAGTAGATTTGAATAAAGAAATAAAATTTTGGGACTTCCCTGGTGGTTAAGAATCCAGTGCAGGGGACACGGGTTCAATCCCTGGTCCAGGAAGATCGCACATGCTGCAGAACAACTAAGCCCGTGAGCCACAGCTACTGAGCCTGCACTCTAGAGCTTGCGAGCCAGAACTACTGAGCCCACGTGCCACAACTACTGAAGTCCGCGCACTAGAGCCCATGTCCGCAACAAGCCACTGCGATGAGAAGCCTGCACACTGCAACGAAGAGTAGCCCCCGCTCGCCACAACTAGAGAAAGCCCATGTGCAGCAATGAAGACGTGATGCAGCCAAAAATAAGTAAATAAATAAATTTATTAAAAAAAAGAAATAAAATTTTAAAATGTTGGTGATTTGGGGGGTTTCTTTTAATAATTTGCAAACATTTCTTTGTTGAGTATGTTTTCTTAATGATGAATGTTTGCAAGGGTTTTATGGGACTGTTGTTGTTGATGATGTTTTTTAAAAAGAGAATTTCAACCTTTTGTGAATTAGTAGAGTCCCAGGAGATCAAGGGACTTGAAACTGAGCCTATAAAATTTGCATAATTATTAAAAAACTTAAAAAACCATTTCTGTAATTGGCAGATTGTCTAAAGCAAGTGTTTCTTTGAATAAACATCTATAATGTTCTAGCGTTCTTTCTTACTTGCATTAGCGCAGTTACTTAATTACTGGTTTCTGTACATAGGTTAAATTTGGAGTCTAAGACTTGGGTTCAAGATCTTGAGCAAATCATTTACTCTCTTGGAACCTTGGTTTCTTCATCTGTAAGTAGGGATAACATATCCTTTCATAGGCCTATGTTGAAATATGGATTGAATTCTGATTTCCATAGGTTGAGTAGACTGGGCCAATTGGATTTCTTATCTATGTGTAATAAGAATGAACTCCTCCTCAAAAACTCTGTATTTTTCTGAGATCTTGGGAGATAATAGAAGATAATGGTTTACCAAAACTTTAGGTGATATATAGAATAGACTTTTAGGAATGCCAAGAAGGGGGATGATTGCTATAGTTGCTCTGGGTATCAGAGAGAAAGAAAAGTGGGAAAATAAGATGTTTTCTCAATCCAAGAATTCAGTGGATTCAATAGTGCATTTGGGGAGGTCAGGAAGATGGAATTATACTATGCTGATGATAACATTCTCATAATTTAATGAAACCAGGTGTTTCACTATGCACTCTCATGTAGAAGGCAGCAAAATCCACTGTGACTGCGTTAATGTGTGCCTCTTTGGATGTGTCTCTAGTTCTTAGTGGCCACTCATACTCAGGAGGCTGAAGCAGCCTAGACATTATCATGTTGCTGGCTGGACTGAGTGACATAATGGATGAGAAAGTACTTTGTAAACTGTAAAGGGTGGCAGGAAGGAACTATTAATAATAGTTAATATCTTTGGATATATCAATAATTCATATTTTTCTTTCTCAGATGTACAATATACAAAATTATTAGCACAAATAATAATAACAATGAATGCTATTTCTTGAATACCTACTCTATGCCAAGTATTACCCTAGGCACTGGTCATAAACTTTCTCTAATCCTTACAATAATCCTAAAAGAAAAGGTATAATTATTCTCATTTTACATATGAAGAAACTAAGATTCAGAGAGGTTAAGAACTTATGCAAGGTCATACAGCTAGCAAATAGCACAGTCAGGATTCTAGCCAAGGTCTATCTAGTTCTAAAGCCTTGCCCACTGCCTTCAGGACAATTACAGATTGCCAAACACTAGACTGTCTTTAGTGCCTTACAATTAACAAAAAAGATTAAGTACACTTGCAGTAAAGCAAAATGCTACACTGAACAGTTAAAATAAAAATTCTTTAAAACTTCCCACGTGACTAACAACTTTATAAAAATTCAGACTATCACCTGAATCAGAGAGTGAACAGTATGAGCAATTGTTAAAAAATAATTGCTACACAAACACACAAATGAGTACATGTAACAGTGTGAAACCTGAATAAGGTCAGTGGATTATATCGATATCAATTTCCAGTTTATGACATTATATTATACTTTTGCAAGATGTTACCACTGGAGTGAACTGAATGAAGGGTACACGGGATCTTGCTGTCTTATTTCTTACAACTGCATGTGAATTTACAATTATATCAAAATAAAAATTTAATTAAAAAAAAAGATAATTGTCATGGTTTACTTACAGCGAAGTTACTCTGAGCTGCATAGTGCAAGGGTGTTGCTCCTTGGCTGTCAGATGGGATGGTTCCAGACTTATTTCTTTCTAAAAGGAGATGGACAATCTGTGCGTGGCCTGAAAGCAGACACAAGGTAGTTATCACATAAAAGAACTGATTCATTTATAATCTATTTAAAGGAAAGGGGTAAGAAAAATCATTAGCACATAAACCAGCATTCACAATGCCCAGTGCAGCCTCTTCTAACTTCTCACGAAAATACATGATTATGTAGCATAAAGGCAAAAACTTACAACACTAAAAACTTAATGCTTCAACCAGGAAGGAAACGACTAATTATAATAGCCAGATTGAGAAAAAACTGTATTAGGTATCCGCTCACTGCATCCCCTGGCTTCACCTTATAAAACTGCTCATAAAAACAGAAGGCGGCACGTTAGAAGCCAGCCCATCTCAGCCATCAGTGTCTCTAGTCTCCAGGTTCCATTGCACCATCGATCAGAACTGCACAGTTGTCCTCTTCTGCTATTCAGGAGGACAACCTATAATACAAACTCTTGTGACCTCTGAGGCCTTCTATCCACCCCCTCTAACCTCCCTCCCCCAATTTTTTAACATCTAGGCAGTGATTTCAAATCCCAGAAAACAAGTGGGCAGGAATGATGAGGTGGTAGTAGAGAAACATGCTCTGCAGTACACTTTGGAGGATGTGGATGTGGTCTCCACAAGTGAAGAACTGTAGAAAGGATCAAAGAATAAATAAGCCTGGTAATAGTATATTTAGGAAACCTGAATTTCATACATGCCATTGCTTCAGTGTATAGGGAATGAGGCAATGAAGAAGATGCCACATTAGCAGAGCAACAATACACTGCATGAAAGCCAGGCAGAAAAAAAGGAATTTGAGTGGGAGTTGTGCTCGTCTACCTGCTCTCCAGCTATGGTTTGAGATGGAGTTCCCCATAACATGAATGGGCAAAAACAGGATCAAAGGCAATCTATGCACATAGTCAATCTAAATATCTCTCTCTTTTTTTCTTTTTTTTTGGTACGTGGGCCTCTCACTGTTGTGGCCTCTTCCGTTGCGGAGCAGAGGCTCCGGACGCACAGGCTCAGCAGCCATGGCTCACGGGCCCAGCCGCTCCATGGCATGTGGGATCTTCCCAGACCGGGGCACGAACCCGTGTCCCCTGCATCGGCAGGTGGACTCCTAACCACTGTGCCACCAGGGAAGCCCTAAATATCTCTTGTTTGAAAGATAAAGAGAAAAATTCAGTAAAGGCTATACGAAAACATACTCTAGGACAGGGAGAAAGGAACACCATCAGAAAGAAGAAGAGCATACCTCAGAAAATGATCTAGAGAAGGATCCAGAGGAAAATTTCAGGCAACTGTTTGGCATCCTTGACTTTTGCAAAGAGATGGCCTCTATGAAATGAAACAGAATATCCTAAGAAGAGAATAATCTAAAATGAAAAGGTAATGGAAGGAGATAAAAAGGAAAAAAGCTGAGATAAAAAGAAATATGGATGAGAGAAGGAAATCAAAATATAACCTAAAATACAATCTATAAGAGGCAGAAAGAAAGCTGAACTTGTGAAACACAAGTCAATTTAGTGCTGTGGAGACAAATTTGCAAAGTCCTCCTAGAATGCAGAGGAAAAGGGATGAAACTGCACCTTGAAATGAAGTCTAAATAATAATTATAAATCTGACTATAAAACTGAATGCAATCATTTAAAAAAGAGATTATGTGTAATTTAAAAACTAAGTCCATAATAATAATGGTTTATTATAATTATTAATATTAATTAATAATTACTATCAGATTATATTTACAAATACCCAAAGAATGATAAGTGAAAGTGTGCTAAATTCCTCATTTTAAATAGATGGGAATCAATAGACACAGTTTTGCTCTGGACTCTGACTTAGGCTTAAAAATTTAAAAGTAACTACTAGTAGAACCTAAAAATCCTCCTAAAACATTAGGCAATTCAAAACCAAACAACAACGAATGTAATGCACACACCACAAGGCAGAAAACAAAGGAATCAGGAAAAAAACCAAAACACTAACAATACTCAAAGAGCAGAATAACAGAAAAAAGATCAAATTATACAATTTATAACAATGATTATCAGTGGGTAAAACTCCTTCACTAAAAGAGAAAGACTTCAGATTGCCAAAAATCAGACACATACACATATATACTCTCTCATCTAAAAAAGTGATCCCCAAAAAGATGTCAAAGGCATATCAGGAAATATGATGAAAAGGAAATCAAATATCATAGTATTAGCTCACACATAAAATTAAAGCCCTTCTCCAAAAAAGCAAAGGCATTGAATGTGATGATTATTTTATATTTACATTTGTCAACAAATGTGCATTACTTTTATAATAAAAATGAAAAGACACGATGTTGAAATTAATATATAACAGAGAATACATTTTATATTGCTAAAATTTAAGCATACAACAGAGGGATTTAGGTATAAAGTGCCACATATCAATTAAAAACTAAAACAATTAAATAGGAGGTGGGAGCTGACAGGGGGAGAGAAGCCATGGAAAATTTCCTATACTCATGCAGTTCCTCCTGCTGTTGATCCTTGGTTTCACATTCAACTCACCTAGTAAAGCTGCCCAGTGAAGAGGCGTTCGAAATAAGTTATCATAAGATGTTATATTGCAGCTTTCGTATGAGGTCAGGACATCAACCACTGTCACGTTCCCATCAGCAACTGCAAAGTGAAGAGGTGTTCGACCCTCATAGTCTTGCCAGTTCAGTAAAGACTCTGTTGGAGCAGCATCCTATTTTTAAGGAACCAGAGACATACATGGAATCCTTACTAAATCACATTTGACATAGTATTAACTGAGAAATTTTTGAAACCTACATATTCTCTCTCAGCAGAAGTGATACATTCAGAAAAAGAGTATACAGTCTAAATCTTTAAAAATTAAATTTCATATTTAACTATAAAAAGTACAGAAAAGATACAATAAACATGTACCATCTATCAATAGATTAAATAGGGATCAACATTTTGCCTAATGTGCTTTTTTTAATCTCTTACAGCTTCAGCTAAAGGCATATGTTTTGTATTTTTGCTTCATATATATACATCCATAAACAACAGTTAAATTTTGTATGTGTGTTTTCAATATTTATACTTATGTATTATACCATACATATCCCTGAATTTTTTCTTTCAAAATTATACTTTTGAATTTTTAATTCCAACACAATACATTTGGGTATCTATGATGATACTAGTCCATTTGTTAAACCACAATTTAGTTAACCATTCTCCTACTGAGGGATATTTAGGTTATTTACATTTTTTCCCACTATTAACAATAATGCTGCAATGAACACGCTTCCTTTACATGTCCCTTTGTGGCACATGTGATTTTTCTCTAGCCCAGACACCTAGATGGGAAATTGCTGGGTTGAAGGATATTTGTATCTTCAGCTAGTATTGTCAAACTGCTCTCTAAATGGCTGTACTAATTAACACATCCATGACGATGTGTAAAAGCTTTTATTTCCCCACATGCTGGTACATATTAACCACTTAGTATTATCAAACTTACAACATTTTTCCCCTTATAGGTATGAAAAGCATTTCACTGATGTTTTAATTTGTATTTCTTTTATGAATGAGGTGCAGTTTTTTTAAAATCATATGTTCATCGGATATTCGGTTTAAATTGATAGTTCACAACATTTATTTTTCTACTGGATCTTTGCAGCAGATATGATGCATTGCTTAGGTCCTCCTTCAAGACTAAAGGACCTACTTCCCCAGCTGCTGCAAGTGCTGCCAGCAAATGACTTTCTACTGTCATCCTTTTGGAATTGCTTCAGCTAAAGAGAGTTACCTCACCCACGGTCAGGTCCCTTCTCAGATTAGGTCATATCCAAAGCCAAGCTCTCTTGTCCAAATTTAAGAACTCTCTGAAGGGCCATCCCAGATTTAGAGCTGTCTATACAGTCAGGCTATTTTACAAAAAAGAGTATTAAAGGTATTATAAACGCTTCAAAAAAAGAAGTAGAATATTACCACAATGGTATTCTAGGGCCTTGAGTCTCCCAAGGACTTAGATGCATTTATAAAGGAGAAAAAAAAAGCCAAATCTGTGAGGAAATAAGATATTATGAGTGAGAATCATCCTCCAAAGACTTCAGATCTTGTAATTAACACATAAAGAATATAAAATAACTATCTATGAAACATGTAAGAAAATAAAAAATGAAATAAAAGGTGAGCAAGGAACAAAAATTCTCAAAATGATCAGGCAGATCTGAAAAAGAACCAAGTAGAACTTTTAGAAGTGAAAATGTAATCACTAAGATTGAAGACTAAATGAATAGGGTAAACAAGAGATTGGATGCAGCTGAAGAAAGACCTGGCAAACTGGAAGGCAGATCTGATGTAATTACCCAGAATGTAGTAGAAAGAGACAAGATGATAGAAATGTAAAAGAGAAGTTAAGAGACATGGAAAGTAAAATGGAAAAGTCTAAAATATGTATTCCTGGAGACCCCATAGGCAGGAGTAGAGAGAATAAAAGAGATGCAATATTTAAAGAGATAATGGTTATATATTTTCCAGAAATGAGATGCAATAATCAGAATGTATACCAAACAGGAAAAAAAAAAAAAAGGCACACCTAGACAAACCGTAGTAAAACTGTAGTATGCCATATAGAAAAATTTTTAAAAGCAGCCTGAGAGAAAAGATATCTATAAAGGGGTGACATAGACCAATAACAGGCTCTTCAAGAGGAATTAATGAAAGGCAGAAAGCAGCAAAATGACAGTCTGAAAGAGTTGAGAAAAGTAACTACTTAGAACTGTGTATACAGGAAAACTACATATTCAAGAGCACAGTAGAAATGTAGACATTCTTAACAAATAAAATCAGGGAGGGCTTCCCTGGTGGTGCAGTGGTTAAGAATCCACCTGCCAATGCAGGGGACATGGGTTCAGTCCCTGGGCTGGAAAGATCCTACATGCCATGGAGCAACAAAGCCCATGCACAACTACTGAGCCTGAGCTCTAGAGCCCACGTGCCACAGCTACTGAAGCCTGTGCGCCTAGAGCCTGTGCTCCACAACAAAAGAAGCCCACACACTGCAATGAAGAGTAGCCCCTACTCACCGCAACTAGAGAAAGCCCATGCACAGCAACAAAGACCCAACACAGCCAAAAAAACAAAACAAAACACAAACAAATAAATAAGTTTATAAAAAAAAAAAAAGATACGTCAACAACAGAGATCTACACTAAAGGAAGTTCTAAGAATTATATTTCAGGAAGTAAGATAATAATAACTCTAGAAGGAAAATTTGAGACTCAAGAAGAAATGCAGAGCAAAGAAATTAGTTAACACACAAGTAGAAATAAATTTTCATTGTACAAATAAAACAATATCTTTTAAAGTCTAATTTGTGTGTTATAAGCAAATAGGACTAAATATTAGACTACCATAGCCTGTAAGTTGGAATTTGGGAAGGAGTGATTAGAAAACCTCAAAGAATATACTGATAAATATTCAAAATTAATAAGAAAGTATACCAAGTTGGTTAAATATATAATTAATGGCCCAAACTATCAATTGCATTTCTATATACCTGCAACAACCAGTTAAATACATACCCTAGATACCCTAGATATGCTTTTACAAAAGGTTCAGAGCAGCACTGTTGTAAATAGCAAAAAATTGGAAACAGTTCCAAATGTCAGTCAATAACAGACTGAATAATGTGTGTCATTTAATCTTCATAAAATGGAATACTATACAGCAGTAAAAAGTAATATATTACAGCTACACATAGCAACATAGATAAAATCACTAGCTTAACACTGAGCAAGAGAAAAGTATGTTGCGGAAGAATACATACAGTATGATTCTATGAATATAAAATTCAAAAATGTTAAAAACTAAACAATATATTTTTTAGGGATACAAACACATGTCAAAACTATAATGAAAACCAGTGGAATGATAATCACAAAACTGAGGATAGTGGCTGACTCTGAGAAAGGAGAGAAAAGAACGGTACTGGGAGGTATCCAGGGAACTTCAATGGTAATGTACTTGGCTCCTCAACTCAGTGATGAGTACATGAGGATTTGTTGTTTCCTTATATATCTTAAATGTATTATATAAATATTCACTTACATCTGTTTACTATTTAATAAGAACAAGTATAAAACAAAGACAGGGATGATAAATATAAACTCAGAAAAGCAGTTGATAGGGGACAGGAATGGCACAGGGAGAGAGAATGTATTTGGAAACTGGCACATAGGAAAGTTCTGTTTGGTCTTAAATAACAGTATTAAAATGTTTTATTTCTTGGTGATGAGCTCACATGTTTGTTATACTCTTTTGCTTCATAATTTGGTTGTGTGTCATATAAATGCTTTTGCATATATTGGATATTTCATTTTATATATATATATATATATATATGTGTGTGTGTGTGTGTGTGTGTGTGTATATATATATATATATATATTTGGAAAGGCCATCCATTACACCCACCAGAATGCATCGCACTGTATGAACAGCACTCGGATCTTTGTGGTTGGCTGCCCAGTGAAGTGGGATCTTGCCTTCGACATCAGGAATTCCAATGTTGGAATCATGCTTGATGAGCAGCTTCACATGCTCAGGGTTATTGTAGTAGGCACTCCAATGCAGAGCTGTTTGCTGCAAAATTGAGAGATCCTCAAAATAACAGTAACTACAGTAACAGTGAAAACACAACAAACTCTTCCCAAACTTTCAGTGTGTGACAGGCACTGTCGTAAGAGTTTTATATATTTTATCTCATGTAGTCTATATCATGACAACTCTGGGAAATGACTACTCTTGAATTTGCATACGACTGGTGAGGAAAGTTAAGTACGAAGAGGGTAAGTAATCTGCTCAAGGGTGTGAAGGTAGCAAGTGGCTGAATAGAGAGTTTAAACCCAGGCAGTCTGACTCCAGAATCTGACATCTTAACCATGGCAGGGATTTAGGTCATCAAGTACTAATACCTGATAATACTGAGAAAGAAAAACCCAGCGAAATATTTTATGAATAATTATCAACAAAGCAAGTGATCATCTTTTTTTTTTTTTTTTTTTTTTTTTTTTTGCGGTACGCGGGCCTCTCACTGTTGTGGCCTCTCCCACGCGGAGCACAGGCTCCGGACGCTCAGGCTCAGCGGCCATGGCTCACAGGCCTAGCTGCTCCGCGGCACGTGGGATCCTCCCGGACCGGGGCACAAACCTGTGTCCCCTGCATCGGCAGGCGGACTCTAAACCACTGCACCACCAGGGAAGCCCCAAGTGATCATCTTGATATTGTACTAAGCACCTTAAGAATCTGATAGAAGGTTTATATTTTAATATCTATCAGAAAAGATCCATGCATAGGAAATCATGGATCTAGAATCCATTTTTTATATCAAAGGATAAATTTAAATTTAACTAATTTTACAGGATAAATTGTTAAGATATATTTTAAAAATACAGCAACACTTGCTTTATTTTTAGATAAAGTTAAAAATGAACATGCTGAATTTGCCAATGTTGCTTTAAAAATCTCTTCTGTCATTCTCATCAACATACTGGTTTCTCTATTAGGAGAACTATTAATGAAACCACAGAGAAACTGTTTAGATATACTTTATACCTTGAGAGTAGCATTGTCATGAATCCAATCTAGAATGAAATCATTTAACAGCAAGAACCAAGCTCAACTGTCACATTAAAAACTTTAAATGTTGGCATATGTGGTATTCATTCAAAGTGAACCTACAGGCGTCTAACATGTAGAGTTATTAACTCATTACTTTTTGTTTAGTGATAACTGAAGAATAAAAAAGTCACAAATATCAAAGCAGTTAATCGCCTAAAACCACATTTTCAGTAAACAACATGTACAGTTTCTGTAGTTCTTTTCTTTTCCTATATTTGTTCTTTTTTAAAGAATTAATTAATTTTTGGCTGCGTTGGGTCTTCACTGCTGTGCGTGGGCTTTCTCTAGTTGCGGCGAGCCGGGGCTACTCTTCGTTGTGGTGCGCGGGCTTCTCATTTTGGTGGCTTCTCTTGTTGTGGAGCATGGGCTTTAGACACGTGGGCTTCAGTAGCTGCAGCACGTGGGCTCAGTAGTTGTGGCACACGGGCTTAGTTGCTCCACAGCATGTGGGATCTTCCTGGACCAGTGATTGAACCCGTGTCCCGTCTCTGCATTGGCAGGCAGATTCTTAACCACTGCACCACCAGGGAAGTCCCTGTTCTGAATATATTTACTGAAATATATTATGCTGTTGAACCTAACAGTAAAAAGTTTGGGGTTGCATTTTTTTACATCTTTGTTTTTTATTTTTCTAGTAATTCTTTTTTTTTGGACTGTGGTAAAATGTACATAACATAAAATTTACCATTTTAACTGTTTCTAAGTGTAGTGTTCAGTGGTATTAAGTACGTTCACATTGTTGTGTAACCATCAGTACTATTTATCTCCAGAATTTTTTCATCTTCCCAAACTGAAACTCCATACCCATTTAACAATAACTCCTAATTCCCACCTCCTCCCCGTCACCTGGCAACCACCATTCTACTTTCTGTCTGTATGAATTTGACTCCTCTAGGTACCTTGTAAGTGGAATCTTACAGTACTTGTCTTTTTGTGTCTGACTTGTCACTTGGCATAATGTCCTCAAAGTTCATCCACATTGTAGCATGTGTCAGAATTCCATTCCTCTTTAAGGCTGAATAATATTCTACTGTATGTATATACTGCATTTTTTTAATCCAGCTGTCCATCAAAAGACATTTGGGAGGTTTGTGAGTAACATCTTTGGGCTATTTTGAGTAACGCTGCTATGAACATGGATGTACAAATATCTGTTCTCATTCCTGATTTCAATTCTTTTGGGTATATAACCAGAAGTAGATTTACTGGATCATATAGTAGTTCTATGTTTAATTTTTTGAGGAACTGCCATATTGTTTTCCACAGTGGCTGTACCATTTTACATTCCCACCAACAGTGCACAAGGGTTCAAATCTCTCCACATCCTCACCAACACTTGTTATTTTTGTTTTTTTGTGATAATAGCTATCCTAAAGGGTGTGAAGTGCTATCTCGCTGTGGTTTTTGATTTGTGTTTCTTTTGTGATTAGTTATATTAAGCATCTTTTCATGTGCTTATTGGCCATTTGTATATCTTCTTTGGAGAAATGTCTATTCAAGTCCTTTGCCAGTTTTTTAATTGAGTTGTTTGGTTTTTTGTTGCTCACTTTTAATGTATTTTATAATATGATTGGTCTGTGACAGATTAGAAATTTAAAAAAAAAACGATCCTTCACCTCAGATGGTTTGAGACTCAGTGCTCTATGCTTTTGTCCTTCTTTCTTCTCTGTGGCTGCCTGGACTATGCAGATCCATTTTCCATCTCTCTGACTGAATAACCTCCCAACCCTGTTCAATAACAGAAGAACATACAAGGACTGGAAGACAGCAGGAAGTTCACAGAATATATTGGGGAAGACATGAAGCCCAAAGACAGTTGTAGCTTCTCAAGTGATTAATGGGCCTTGTGCTTTTTTCAGTGAAATATTTATTTATTTAGCCACTTGGCTTGTGGAATCCTAGTTCCCTGACCAGGGATTGAACCCAGGCCCTCAGCAGTGAAAAGACAGAGTCCCAACCACTGGACCACCAGGGAATTCTCAGTGAAATATCAGCACTATAAATGCTGTGAGTTAAGAATAATATTAATTTACAAGTTGTAAAATAAAGTTAAAGTTGATTTCAGAACTCTGGGTTATGTGAATGACTACTAAACAAAATCTAAAAGTCACATAAAGAACACTATGGGAGTGAAAATATTATTGAATATAAACCCAGTGAATGACTTATAAGAGTTTTAATTACATGAGAGTGCTGGAGTTAGCAAGACTCTATGATTAAGTGCCTGATGAAAAGGAAGAGGATGATTGCATTTGTCTAACTAAAGACCACATTTTTTTCCTGTAAGGAATGATCAGAGTGTTGACCAAAACAATGACCAATGGGCACACTATGTTAAAACTCAAGAGCAGGGAAGATAATGGACCCTAGTAAGAATGCCAGAGCAGATGTTAGAATCAAAATGAACTAATAATAATAATTTTAAGCTAATATTTATTGAGAGAATACTATGCACTGGGCATTGTGCTAAACACTTCATATATATCGTCTCATTTTATCTTCAACAACCCTTTATCCCCTTTTTGCATATGAGAAAATTGAGGAATAGAGGAGTTAAGTAATTCAATGGACATAGAACAAGTGGTGGCTTTTACACTGAAACCCAAGAAGAATGATGCCTAAGCCCAGGCCATTAAAGCACTATGCACTTAGTTCATTACCCAGGGCATTTGGCCACCACAAATCTAACTACCTTTAGCAACTATCTTGACTAGCAGTCAAATACTGAGTTGGAGTTAGACAGGCCTGGTTTGAATTCTATTCCTGCCAACTGGATCTCGGGCAGAATTTTAATCTTCTTGAGCTTCAGTTTTCCCATATGTAAAAAGATGATACTACCCACCACATCTGGTTGCTGGGAGGATAAAATGACAGAATTTAAGTGAAATACTTTACTGGGGTGTGTGGAGACTTGGAATTGTTCTACCATGCATGAGTGGTAATTTAGGCCTTCTTCCTTGAGATTTCACATCATAAAATAAAGCATTTGCTTTCTGCTCTATTTGTCTTCGATTTTGACAGTCCGTTACCTTGTTTTTATCCTGTGTATCCACTTCTCCTGGTGCCATAAACTTCAGCAGAAGCGCCAAACACTTAGGGCTCTTGTGCCGGGTAGTCAAGTGTAAAGGAGTCATTTCTTCTAGATCCTTCTGCATCCAGTTTGCTCTGCGTGTAAGTAAGAGTTTCATGAAACGATAATTTCCCTAAATAAAAAATAAGAGACAGTAAGAAGAAATTTAGTTTGGAGCCAAATTTTTTTTAAAATTTTAAAATGTTTTAAGCATTTTAATTATTCTGCTAGAATAATAACATTCAGATAAATTAATAAAAGGAAAATACATATAATTCTACTACTCTAGCAATTGTTTTATTTTTTCACGTTTCTTTCCAACCGCTTTCTATATGCATTTAGTTTACTCAGTGGCTGGTCAATATTTCATTGTGTTAAGGCAAGACATTTTATTTAATCATTCTATTATTGCTTGTAATATTTTTTAATAGAAAATGCTACAATGTACATGATTTTTCACATATTTTTTTTCCATAGAATAAATTATCAGGAACCAAATAACTGGGTCAAAGGAGTTTGTGCATTTTATGGTTTTTGGTGTATTTTCCAAATTGCTATCTAGTTGCAACAATGTGTGAATGTATTAGTTTCAGCACAATCTGACCAGCACAGCACATATTATTTATATTCAAAGTATAATAACTTTGTGAAATAAGTAGAGATTTTAAACCCCAATTTACAGGTGAGGGAATTGAGATTCAAAGGGGTTAAATATTTTGTTCACAGTCATTTGGTTAATAAGGAAAAGGTGGTTAGCTTTCTTGACGAGAGCTATTTACAGGTACAGCTAAGGTAGAAGCAGCTTCCTCAAAGTTCAGGTCCCAGACTCATCTGTTCACACAAACACCAACCCAGAAGTCACTGTAGGCCGCCCACTTGCAGGCAGTGCTCTCTGCACCAGTTAAACCCTCCAATCTGGCAGAACCAACCCATCTGGAGAAAGTTTAGTTACAAGGGCTAGAGTAATACACTGGTGGGGACTCAGGTCGACCATTTTATAGTATGTCTATGTGAGCTTTGAAACCCTTGAAAAATATTCCAGGGGCTTCCCTGGTGGTGCAGTGGTTGAGAGTCCGCCTGCAGATGCGGAGGACATGGGTTCGTGCCCCCTTCCGGGAAGATCCCACATGCCGCGGAGCAGCTGGGCCTGTGAGCCATGGCCGCTGACCCTGCGCGTCCGGAGCCTGTGCTCTGCAACAGGAGAGGCCACAGCAGTGAGAGGCCCGCGTACCGCAAAAAAAACAAAAACAAAAACAAAAACAAAACAACAACAACAACAACAAAAATATTCCATATTTCTGGATTTCCCTGGTGGCGCAGTGGTTGAGAGTCCGCCCGCTGATGCAGGGTACACAGGTTCGTGCCCCGGTCCGGGAAGATCCCACATGCCGCGGAGCGGCTGGGCCCGTGAGCCATGGCCGCTTAGCCTGCGCGTCCGGAGCCTGCACGTCCGGAGCCTGTCTTCCGCAACGGGAGAGGCCACAACAGTGAGAGGCCCAAGTACCACACACACAAAAAAATAATAAAAATAAAAAAAAATTCCGTAGTTCTTTTAAACTCTTTCCTGAGATCTAGCTCCATATTTCCAATTCTGATTGGAGTCTTCAATATGCTTGGTATCACAGATATTTCAAAGTCAACATGAACAAACTGCATTGCATGATCAAGTTCTCTGTCTACTTCATGTGTATTTTCTCTTTCCCTATTCAAAGCATAGTGGCAGGCAGGGCTACCTGTCTTTTTCATCTTCTGAGACCCTCTACATCCTTAACATTGTTGGAAATGTGACCTTTAAGTATTATAATTACAATGCATTAATGTTCTACTATCAGGAGCTATTGGTATTAGTAAGGAAGACATTTATTGATTGAGCAGGTTCCCCACTGTGATGCATGTGAGGCTCTAAGTAAGGCAAAGGGAACTAGCTAGAGCAACAGTGAGGTGCAGAAGGAAGAATGAGACTTGCCTGCTTGCCTACAGGGGCAAAGACAGGATTCAACTCAGCTCCAGGGCTGGGGCAGAGATAAGGGAGAACAAGGCTAGGAAAAGGGTCATAAGGCTGTCTATACTAGATGGACAAACTTGGAATGGACTGAAAAACAAATGAATGCAGCTTATTTATTTCCTTTCAGAGAGGCTTTCCTTGACCACCCTAAGCAGAACTTATTTTGTTCTTCTTTATTGCAGTACCCTTTCATTTCCTTCATAGTACTTTCCCCAGTTTGTAGTTACATATGTTTTTATTTCCCTTCACTGAGATTTCCCTCATAAGCAGTAAGCATCATGAAGGCAGAGACTATGTTTTGTTGACCACTGTGCTCGGCATGGTTCCTGGCACATAATAGGTGCTTAATAAATATTACTTGAAGGACTGAGTGAATAAGAGGAAATGAAATATCTTATAGAGATTTTTGTTTTTATTTAAAAATTCTTATTTACAGTTGCTAAATTAGATCATAACAGTTAAGAATATTAACTCTCAGGGCTTCCCTGGTGGCGCAGTGGTTGAGAGTCTGCCTGCTGATGCAGGGGACACGGGTTCGAGCCCTGGTCTGGGGGGATCCCGTGTGCCGCGGAGCGGCTAGGCCCGTGAGCCACAGCTGCTGAGCCTGCGCGTCTGGAGCTTGTGCTCCGCAACGAGAGGCCGCAACAGTGAGAGACCCGCGCACCGCGATGAAGGGTGGCCCCTGCTTGCCGCGACTGGAGAAGGCCCTCGCACAGAAATGAAGACCCAACACAGCAAAAATAAATAAAATAAATTAATAAACTCCTACCCCTAACATATTAAAAGAAAAGAATATTAACTCTCAAATATCTGGAATTTGGTTACTATTACTTTTTAATGTTTTATTTATCTGAGCTTCATTCATAGTGGACATCATTTATCTGGATTTTCTGATTTCACCCAATGCAAGTTTTTGAGAAGGTACTAAAATTTCCTCAAGAGGGCACCCTGCTCTAAATCTCTTGCCATCTTTTCTTTCAGAAAAAGAGAAAAATGCCCAGGAAAAATAAACATATGTGGTACTTCATACCAAAAAAATAAGGTTTGACCTTTCTGAGCATAACATTTCAAATATTACAGAATAATTCATCATGACTTTTAAAGATATTCAATCAGACAGTCATTGTGAATTTGAAATTTAGAGGAAATGGGAAGGAGAAGGAGGAAACTAGAATGTGTTAGGGGGTGGCTACTGACTTATAGACAGTGCTTGGTATATTTACATTTCACATCATTCTGCAGATTCTACCTACAGAAAACATCGTACACCTCAGTAATAATCACTCATTCATTCAACAAACATCCATTGAACCTTGTTACAAAGCAGGAAGGAGTAAAATGTTTGTACTTTACTTATTACAAAGCTCTTTGACATAGATTTCATCTTTGCTCCTCACAGAAGTATCGTGGAAAATTTTTACATATCAATTAAAGTATCTTCCTGTGACTCTAATTTCCTCATCTGTAAAACAGGAATAATAATAGTACCTGAGATTATCATGCATATGAAATGATAAAGGTAATCTCTGTACTTAGAACAGTACACAAAGCAAATGCTCAGGAATGTTTGCTAACTTTATTATGGACAGTTTTCCAATGTGGAGGAAGCAATAAAACATAAATGGTCAAGTGGAACCAAGAATGGCCCATGACAGAGGGCATGTAGATAGAAAGATCTAACTGAACATGGTATACATAGTTCAGCTACTGATTAAGGAGAGAACCAAGGTTAGGAACAGGTAAAAGTAAAAATAGTTGGAATGTTATAAATAATGGCTTTTCTGATTTGTTTTTACATTGAGAAAGATGTCTATACTCTACTTATGGATAAAGGTGATATAGTACCAACAAGAACATACCCAATAGGAATTTAGCTGGTACCCTGAGGAGGGGTCAGCTATATGATCAGGCCAGCTTCTTCTATTCCAAAGGACAGAGACACATCAGATATTACTGACGAATGATGGGACTAGAAACAATATAATCCATTTGGACCAAGGTCAACCTCCTTGGTCTCATGAACAAGCATTTATTAAATGCCCAGTGTATGCAAACTCAATTCTGAGACTGAACAGAGGGGACAGACAACCTTTGAGCTAAAATCAGGAGAGTATTTGTAATATCAGTGGAAAAGAGGACAACACTAGTTTGAGGCAGCAAGCTATTTTGATAACCCCCTGAAGACTGTATGACCCTGGGGACACATGTTATAGGCTACTTTGTTTCCCGTAAAGCCTCCTCAATACAAAAGCAAACAGACAAAATGTCTAAACATTTCCTCACTATTGCTTGAAATTTGGACTTCTTAAGTTTTCAAGTTTATTATAACACAAATACTTTGGGGATGATTTGGAAGTTAACAATTTAGTATCATATCTTAGGGCCACACAGAACATGATCCTGAGGTGAAGACTGTTTTGGAATTTGCTTTTATAATTTCTGACTGGGTAGGAAATAGTATAAGATCAAAAGAGATAATAGATCAAAAGAGTGTATATTCTTAAGAAAATTCCGGTGGTAAGTGAGCAGAAATGAGAGCTAAAGTTACAAAAAAGTCCTGATTTCATCACTAAAAGGACATTAACTCTGATATGATGAGGTCTATTATGCCAGCGAAATGTGAAAATATTTCCTAATGTCTCTGAAACATTGAATAAGACGTCGTTTCTCAGTTTCTGGTTTTTTGTTGTTGCCGTTGTTGTTAGGTACTAATAATCCTCATCTTAATCTTCCTGTAATTATTAACACCATGAGCTTCTTTTGTCTGTAATGTAAGTGATTATGACATTTGGATTTTCCCCAAATACATGAAAAGGAGTATAATATCTGAAAGGGTAAAAGAGAATGAAAAAGCTCTCTGACCTGGAGAACAGCTCTTGAAATGAATCTGGGAACAAATCAACTCAAAATGCCACTTAAGCTCATATTTTTGTCTGTCCAACTTGCTAAGAGGAACTCCTTTTTTTAGGAAAAGTCATTTAATCTTAATAACAATGATATGGAAGTTCTGAGTGAAATACTTTGATATTTTGTTTTAGATTTTTCATTTTTTTTTTTTTTTTACTTAAGCATTTTCTTTTTATTCAAATATATGCAAATCAAATGGTAAAAAGTATAGAAACTTACAT